AAACATGTGTATTGCTTTGGTAGCGTTCAAGTGGTCATGCTTTAACGAGGTAATGCTCATAATTTTGCGAGTTTTAGATGTGTTTTTTCCTGCAGCCTTGTCGCGGGCTCTGTGTTGTCACAGCGTACATGTGTTACTCAACTCCTTTTGTATAGAAGGACAATGGGAGATGACCTGTAGAAATCGCACTTGATTCATGTATGTATCATATAATAGTCACTATGCATCTATACAACGCGTCGATCTGGAAATCACTTTGAAAAAAAAAAACTTTAATAAAAGCAAGTGGTAGAATTGGTGATGAAATTAAACTATCTTACTGAAGAGAGTATGTTTGTTGATTATGGTAAATGTACGAATATTAACTGTACATGTTGTTGTATGCTGTTTTACTAAGCTTCTGGGGGATGCTGGAGAGGCTGTTTTCTTGCAGTCTGGAAGGTAAACGTATTTACTGCATTGTTTTCAATGTGGACCATATATTAGTAATATTGTGTGGTGTAAGAAATCCATGAATAAAGATCGAATGCAAAAGTATATGTGAAATATGTACCTCTACTGAGTCTTTCCAGATATGAAGTTAGTGTCCCACGGAGCACCACACCTTTGAATTCCTTCAACGTCGCATCAATTCTATGCTGGATTATTGACACTTTATCGGTATATTATGGAATAGCACAAGCTGTGCACAAGCGCGTATTGTTTACATGTACTTATCGTACCCATCCCGTATGCGAACGGAAATTAACGTCCGCTTTTGGGTCGCACTTCGGAATTTCACCAGACCTCGCCCCCAAAAGTGGCCGTTACCATATAAGATCAGTAGTATGACGTAGTTATACCGCGAATTTGATAAGTTTTAAAAAGATTCCTGCAACCTCGTCGTAAATCGTTAAATAACTTCATATGGAAAGCCGTATGTCACATAGAAACAGGCTTCTACGTTTTGCAGGAAATTCGAAATAGCACAAAATTAATTTCCCCATGCTTCAATTGGTTCTCTGTTGCCACAACTAAAAATTAAGCGTCACAGTCACATCAACTTAGAATTGGGTGTTGTAGTGGTTGTTCCATAATTCATTATACACGAGTGTGTGTAAATTTAAATTGAAAATAGAAAAAAAACATGGATTTATGCAAATTGTAAATGAATATCCATGTAATGACAATACATGTATTTCAAATGAATATCGATGTAAGTATATAAAACTGTTCGCGACGGGCCGACTTCCGAACTGGCTGACTTCTCTTGTACTGAAAGGTCGACCCTATGTACATCTACTTAGCCCATTAAGAAGATTATACATTAACCAGCTCGTCGATCTGCAATTCGTTGGTTCATTTAATCTATTTTAGGGAGTGAAATAAAAGTTAGTAAATCATTGATTGCGGTTATGTTGTACAGTGTCGTAAAAAATATGTGTGGAGATTCGTTCATTTTAGTTGCCATACTGCGCTCAACAAAGCAATATTTGCTCATGTGTGCGGTGTTGATGACAAGCTGTCTCATGAAATATTGATATTGAATGGTATTTATCATGATGGGCTTTGTCACGTACCATTCATCTAACACATCCGCTGTGATTCGTAATGTGTAATCAGAATGTTAACCGATTAAAGGTAGACACAAACAATGTAGCAAACAATAAGGTATAGACTTTGTATTGTGAAATTAGCATGTATATTCCCAGCTTATGATCATATTTGTTAACGTTTGATCTAACTTGACTTGGATTCCGTTAGTATTACATAATTTTATAATTATTACGAACATCACGGGAAACTAGTAAATGCGCCATCAAGAGTTTGGTGATCGGTTAGGATGGCGCTACACTTTCTCATATACAAATATCGGCCCACGTATGCTCCGTCGCAGTATTGTTGTTTTTTGCAATGTCCAGACAAGTTATGGTGTTGATGCGACTGATTGCAACAAAAGTGATCTCAATGTTTTGATTATGTCCAATACTGAACACTTAATATTATAACAAAGGTAAATACAAATCGATGTATGTGAAGTTTATTTATTTTTTAAGTCCATATACAGCCGATGTTCGACGCATGTTAACGTGTGCCACCCACTCTGCAGCAACCTTGCTATTTTTAGATGTTAGTGGAATTACATTTAACAATATAAAAATTGTAAATCAAAGAAATATTTATTATTTTCGTTATTAATCTTTGCGATTATTTAGCTTTTTTATAAAATAATTTAAAAGCAAAATTGTTCAATTTCGAAATGTAGGAATTGTTTGAATAATTGTTACTAAACTGCGTCAATTAATATCATCACATTCATAGCATCAAGTTACCATATACCGCTCTTCATTCCTTTGACAAACATGAATTCCTACAGAAAGAATTAAAAAGACATTTTAAAGATCTACGGTTGAGTATGTTCTTTTCACTTTCAAGTATAGTACGAGTGGTGGATTTTGACGCCTTAAAAGAAATATTAAACTTGACAGTAACGGTATTGCCCTGATAGCAAGTGGCTTTGACTGTTAAATCCATACTGGCAGTGAGAAGGTTGCGAGATTTGTGGGAGTATTACATTTCTGTAAGATGGAAATAAAAAATATAACTTTTGCTAATATGTCTCAATACATCACATGCGTACGCGTCGATGAATAGTTCGATGATTGTTTTATAGTCCATGGTGTATGGACACGGTCATACAATGGCATTCTGTAAATTACTATATGTGAAATTCCAGCATAACTGAAATTTTTACTTAATAATTTAAACGAAATACAGGTAAAATAAATGATAAAATGAAATAAAATGAACGTGACAACACCAGTTGGCAATAGACGTTATGACGCAACTCGTCAAAAGATGTAATGACACCAGTGGGAAATAGAGGTAACGACACCAGTGGCAACGGACGTAACAACATCAATGGATAATTAACGTGACAACACCACTGGACAATAGACGTATTCACGCCACCGGGCAATACACACAAAGACATCACTTGGCAATGAGCGTAACGACACCACTGGACACCAGTGGACAAAAGATGTAATAACACCAGTAGTCAATAGACGTAACAACACTGGACAATAGATGTAACCAACACCCGTGGAGAATAGACATAACAACGCCACTGGGTAATGACGTAACGACACCGCTTGGCAAAAGACGTAACGACACCACTGGCCAATGGACGTAACGACACCACTGGCCAATGGACGTAACGACACCACTGGACAAAGTACGTAACGACACCACTAGACAATGGACGTAACGACACCACTGGACAAAGTACGTAACGACACCACTAGACAATGGACGTAACGACACCACTAGACAATAGAAGTGATACCACTGGGCGATATAAGCACAGTCCCTAGGGACTGTGATATAAGTAATAACACCAC